TGCCGATTTTGGATCAAAATTTAGGATTTTTAGTGCGGCTTATGGTCGTGAAAATACGGTATATCCAAGTGTGATGCTGTTTACTTGAAGCTCAAAGCTTTAAAATTAAAGCTCAAAGTTGGTCAAATGCTGCTACCAGCTGAGCAGTTCCAGCAAGAGTTCCGGTGTCTGGCACCGAACTGCAACATGTTTCTTAAGACTGTTGACCATTTGTGGAACTGCCATTATCCAGTAAAATAGGCATTCAGGTCACATCTGCATTTACATCTGCCTTGATTTGGAGTATTCCAATTTAATTTAGTAAACTTAAGAAAAGTTTTCTAACTTACTGACAATATTTTTCTATTGTGCAAATGACATATATCTTATATTGTATACAGGTTGTCAACTTAACCATTCATTTGGTCACCAAAGATATGACTATACTGAAAAAGTGATTTATGACTGGCTCTTCCATTTCTGTCTCACTGTCCCTGCAGTCACATGTCTGTGATTGAGGCACCTGGCAACCATTGTGCATTTATGATTATCACAGTGTTGCACAGTCATGGGATCACTATGTGTAACCTTCCAGGCTGCTTCCAACAAATGAAATCAATGGGAAAGCCAGCAGGGAAGGCCACAAATTGCAGTCACGTTGATTTCTTGCTTAACAACTGCAATTATTTGCTTAACAACCTCAGCAAAAAAGCTCAAAGAATGGGGTAAGATCTTATGATGCTTTTCTCAAGCATATCTATATACCATGTTTTCCTGAAAATATGACCTGTCCTGAAACATGGTGAGGCTGGGAGGCATGCGAGCTGGGGGCGGAACAGGCGCTCGCGCAATCACCATCTCCAACCAGGCAGAGCTCCATGCACTGACCTAGGGGTTATCCCGAATGTGCCAAGCCATTGGAGCAGAGTGCCATGTGGCTGGTGCCTTAGGGATACCTCCTAGGCCAGTGAATGGTGCTCTGCCCGGCTGGAGAGAGGGTTTGCCGGGCGGCTGCTCATGAGTGTGGTCACCTCATGGCTGCTTCACCCCTAAGGCTGTGCCGGCTCTTTGGAAGCCCACTCACAAGGGAGCAGCCGCCCGGCAATCTCAAAATAATAAGCCCTCCCCTGATAATAAGGCCCAAGCCATATTTTGTGGGTCAAAAGAAAATAAGACCCTGTCTTATTTTCAGGAAAACACAGTATAAATTATTACATTGTTTCAACTAAAAACATGCTCAGGCATTGTATGATTAAATAGTACTTCGAACTGAGCAGCAAGAAATTTTAACTTAGGTGCTACTTTGCAAAGAAAAATATTTAAAAGCATTCAACATTCACTTCCTGTCAAATGCTTCTAAGAAAGTGAACTACTTACTGCCTTCCCACGTACAGTGTAAGAGATTCAGAGCCCCTTCAACTCTTTTCCAATGCTGAAGGTGAAAGAAAGCGTAAGCAATTGCTTCACTGTCGCCTCGCTTCAAAATATGTTCAGGGGGTAATATTAAGCTTTTCATTTCTAGGAGATACTATAACAGAAAAACAGCAAGCATACAGTCATAATCCAGACATAAAAGGAAAATATAAGTATACTCCAGTCCCCCCCCCCCCCGGTACTGCATATTGTTCAGCTGCAAAATTTTATTATCTACATTTTCATCCACTACTTTTGATAATAAATTTCTCATATATCTTAAATGCTAAAATATACCAGCAAATTGCAAGTACCATATTCTTAATCTCTTTACAGATAGCAGAAAACAAGAAACAGCTCTCTCTTTTAAAAGATATAGGAAAAGTTATTTTTAAATCCAAAGCATTATCCAAAAAACCTTTTGTACAAGACATTGCAAGAACATACATTGGGTTAATAGTTTTCTACAAAATATAGGTCAAGGTAAAATTATGCATACTGTCATATCTTCCTCAATCTGATCCCTTAGGAAAGAAAGACCCTCAACTCCATTTGGTTGAAATGAAAGGCTTTTTTATTAAAAAGATGTTGGCTACAGCAAAGTCAAGCTAGCTCTGGGTTTCCCATGCTCAAAAGATACAAAAATGTTTCCCCTCATCCCAGCCCTCCCCCTGTGATCAGTCTTTCTTCAGCCAATCGGAACTCGCCAAAGTGTTTTGAGAATGCTGAGACGTTTTGAATAATCCACATTCTTTCTTAGGGTACCTGGCATTGGATTCTGGTACAAACTGATTCCAAACTTCCCTGATCTTTATCACCTGTCATTCCCCTCTCCTTATTTTCCATCACATATACACACAGCTCTATTGTCCATCTATCCTCCCTCCCCCCTTCTAGCCTTTGATGGCAGAATGCCACTGGGGCGCCAAGCCAAGATTGGCAGATCTGACATTCTTCCCCCCCTTGACAGAAACATTAGTCCTGGACAGGGGAAAAAAAGAGGAGACAGACAGACAAACAGAAAGTCTCTAATTAGCAAATAGTTCACGGAGGTTTATCTGAGTACTGTTCATGAAATTTGATAACCAATCTGGAAGCTTTAATATGTTGGGAATTGACCCATTCAGTCTCTGAGGAAGGGAAGTCTTTCCTTGCTACCATTGTATATGGGAGTCCAAAATGTCCTTGACATCAAAGTGTTGCTTTCCCTTGATCATAATGGGGTCAACTCAGGGGTGGTTATAACTCAAGGCATAGGGAAGTTGTGATCTCTGGTTTCAATAGGCTGCAATGAAACATTGGGTAAACCAGTCTGAGCATTTAGCTCAAGTTCAACAGTCCCTGGGTTAATAATCCTTTTTATGGGGAAAGGTTGTTAGGGAGGTAATCTTAGTCTTGGGTTGGATATATATATATCTGTCACCTTAAATGCTCAAGTGAGATGTGATTGGATGCTGTTGCTTTAATCAGCCATAAGAGGGAGTAGGAACTACTACTGTTTGTTCCTAGTTGTATGTTCTCAGTGCTTGTTATTGGAGTTGAGTACTATCTACATGGTGAATCATGAGTTGAGCATCTGTAAACCAACGTGTTGTGTCATAGACTGTGTATATAGTTCAAGACTACTTATCGCTTGTTTTGGAGAATGTTTATCCTACTTTATTTTTGTTAATGCAAGTAAAGTTATCCTTTTTAACCATTTTAACTTCGGCGGCTGTGATTGATAGTGTGACTATTCAGCAGCACATTCCTTGCTACCTCTGCTACTCAAATCTAGTCTCCTAAAGAAGATATACTTAACATTGGTTATGGGCCCAGACTTCCATTAGTAGCATTAGGTGAGCTGGAGTCGCTGCATTCTTTCATATCCAGATAGCT